GTAAATTATAATTACATTGTTCAATCACAATCATATTCAATCATATTCATAACATTTATGCAATCAGCGGAGTTAAGCATTGAAAGAATGACCTGGTAATTTTCGTTTACCAATGAAGGGCAACAAAGATGACCACCGAGTTCATCAAGAATTCAAAAATGCCCAGTTTATATAATGTTTATTAATTAATTAAGGTATTAATTATGCAAGCAAGAGGGCATTAGTTGGGAAACAGATGACATTTTTGCGACTATACAATTCTAAAATTATATTAACCAATTTAATTCGTTTTGAAAGTAACTCAAACACAGAAATTAAAACAAAAGGGCGGAGAAGATGGGTGAGAGAGAGAGAGGGAGGGATTGAGGTTAGCTATTTGATAATGATAAAAGAAAAAAAACAAATTAAACCTACTTTCCTTCCTGTTTAGTTTATTGCGCAATCTGCTGAAACATCATCACTTCAGCTTATAATGTCATACAGCTTGTTTTCTTCTCTATCAAATTATCTTCCATAAGCTTCAGTTGACTTTACATTTGAATCATGTCTTCTGTTTTTATTCGTTTTTATTTTCATTTTTACTAATTAATATTTTTCAAAATAATTGTCTTATGTAACTTCATCCTTTATTTGTAAAGTATTTGTTTGTTTTAAGATATTGATCATTTCAATAGTGATTCTTTTCATTTTTAGAACTCCATAACTCCATAAGTAGAAAGTCGTTAGTGAATTCTTTTCACGGATAAGATTTTCGATCAAATTCAAAACAATACCTCAAGACACTACTCGTTGATTATCATTATCATCAAAGATGTATGAAAATTCGTAAATACCTTCCAACTCCAAATTATTTAATCGCTTAACTAAAGTTCAGTAATTGAGGTATGTAAAATATCTACAAAAAGAAAACGAACTGTCTGAACAAATACCATGCTATAAAGTGAAATGATAATGAAATTCCGATCAAATAGTTAATTTTGTCATTGCAGAGAATCTCAATAACTTACGATACATGCTATAACATATAATACAAAAGCTCACATACCTTCATCTATCTCATTTCAACAACAAATGATCGAATTAATAATAACGGAGTGGAAAAATATATTACCGGTATTCCGTTCCTGGGCTGTATGGAAGTAGGGTTAAACAAATTGAACATGCTTATGCGTGTTAATTGGTATCATGCAAGAATCATTAGCTTTATATGAACATAAATGACAAACTATTTCCATATTTTCTTTGTCATCCAATTCGTTTACCGCCTTACCGTGAAGGCGTACCTGGACGTCTATGATATTGAACTAATCGATTGTAGTTCAACCTCCAGTTGTTTTTTTTCTTTTTTCTTGTGAATTTTTAAGTTTAAAAGCATTTTCAGTATGCATACATTCAAACATAATAAAGAATTGAAACTATTATCGCTTGGCGCAAATGGTACTTATAAAAATAAACACAAACCATTTCAAAATAAATATAGCACATTATCAGGCAAACAGCATGAACAAATGTAATCAGTGTTTTGAAAGGGCTGATTCAGGTATCTTTAAAAACCAGCGTGGAATACGCTAAATCAATGATAACATTATCTGATAACTATTGACTGTAACCATTTCAGAGCTATTAGTTAATTAGTTAATTTACTGATTGGCTAATTAATATAAAGTTTTGGTCCAATTTTTTCAAAATAAGTTTTATTTAGTGAAATAAACTGAAATCTGAAGAGAATAAAAGCATTACGGGAATATACTGAAACGAATGAAATTTTTTGAGTAACGGAATGAAATGAAACAAAGAGTGGAAGAAAAAAAGGGAGAAAAAAAAGCATGAATAGAGTGGAAAATGAAATTTGAATTGAACTAAACTAATTAAGAATCTTTAATAATCTTCATTATGGAGTGTAAAATTTTGGATAAAAAATTGAATTAAATTCAATTCAATGGAATTTTTTTTTAGGAAAATTATGGGATCTGAGCTGGGCATGCGCTAATGTCGCATATTGTCAATTGATATGACTTGATCCTATGCTATAAAGAAATTCAAAAAAAGGATAACAAATTGAGCGAAAAGGTAGCAAGATTTCTTCGATGAGCATTGATCAACCTTCTTTCACAATTATTTCATCAAACCATTTGAATACTTTCATTAATTTCGGACGTAATTAACCGAAGAGTTAGTTGGGCTAATAAAACAATATGCGAAAAATTAAGATGGAAAAAAAAAGTGAAAATAAAAATTAATTAACATCAAAAATAGCATGCAAAAAGTAAAGTGAATAGAAAAAAAAAGTGGACATAAAAATTA